TTGGTGTGTGTGTGTGTGTGTGTGTGTGTGTGTGTGTGTGTGTGTGTGTGTGTGTGTGTGTGTGTGTGTGTGTTTGTATTTATGTTTATTTTCGTGGCCTGGTAGGCAACGCTCTTACTTCACACACTGAGGGTTCGTGGTTCGATCCCCGGCAAGGGTGGAAACATTGGACGTGTTTCCCTACACCTGTTGTCCCGTTCACCTAGCAAGTATGTAGGTACCTAGGTGTTAGTCACCTTACACCTGCTATCCCTGTTCACCTAGCAGTAAGTAGGTACTGTTATCTTAGTTTTAAATTACTGCTAACCAGAACTCCTAAATCTTTTTCGCAATCAGTAATATGATTTACATTATTTAATTTATAAGTGTCATGGTTATTTTCCTTTCCAAAGTAGAGAACTTTGCATTTGTCTATATTAAACTGCAGCTGCCACTTCTCCGACCAGACCAGTGCACCAGTCTAACTCTGTTCAGATCTTCCTGCAGCGCTCTCGTGTCCTCGTCAAAATTAATTCGACTGCCTATTTTGGTGCCATCGCAAACTTGCTTATCTCACTATTTATTCCCGCATCTATGTCGTTTATGTAAATTGTGAACAACAAGGGTCCCAACACTGACACCTGTTGAACACAGCTTGTGACGCTTCCCCACACTGATTTCTCCCCGTTTATGCAAACTCTCTGTTGCCTATCTGTCAACCACTCCTCTATCCAGGAAAAATTTCTGTATGATAGTTACACAGTGGCAACACCAGCAGTGTGTTGCTATACTATTATATAAAATAGTTACACAATGGGAGCACCAGCAGTGTGTTGCTACACTATTATAGAGGATAGTTACACAGTGGCAACACCAGCAGTGTGTTGCTACACTATTATATAAGATAGTTATAGTGGGAGCACCAGCAGTGTGTTGCTATACTATTCTGTATGATAGTTACACAGTGGCAACACCAGCAGTGTGTTGCTATACTATTATATAAGATAGTTAAACAGTGGGAACACCAGCAGTGTGTTGCTACACTATTCTGTATGATAGTTACAGTGGCAACGATAGCAGTGTGTTGCTCCACTATTCTGTATGATAGTTAGACAGTGGCAACACCAGCAGTGTGTTGCTACACTATTCTGTATGATAGTTACACAGTGGCAACGATAGCAGTGTGTTGCTACACTATTCTGTATGATAGTTACACTGTGGCAACACCAGCAGTGTGTTGCTACACTATTATATACGATGTTAAACAGTGGGAACACCAGCAGTATGTTACTACACTATTATATAGGATAGTTACACAGTGGCAACACCAGCAGTGTGTTGCTACACTATTATATATGAAAGTTACACAGTGGGAACACCAGCAGTGTGTTGCTACACTATTATATATGAAAGTTACACAGTGGGAACACCAGCAGTGTGTTGCTACACTATTATATATGATAGTTACACAGTGGGAACACCAGCAGTATGTTGCTACACTATAGTATAGGATAGTTACACAGTGGCAATATCAGCAGTGTGTTGCTACACTATTATATACGATAATTACACATTGGCGACACCAGCAGTGTGTTGCTACACTATTATATAGGATAGTTACACAGTGGGAACACCAGCAGTGTGTTGCTACACTATTATATAGGATAGTTACACAGTGGCAATATCAGAAATGTGTTGCTACACTATTATATACGATAATTACACATTGGCAACACCAGCAGTGTGTTGCTACACTATTATATAGGATAGTTACACAGTGGCAATATCAGCAGTGTGTTGCTACACTATTATATACGATAATTACACAGTGGGAACACCAGCAGTGGGTTGCTACACTATTATATATGAAAGTTACACAGTGGGAACACCAGCAGTGTGTTGCTACACTATTATATATGAAAGTTACACAGTGGGAACACCAGCAGTGTGTTGCTACACTATTATATATGATAGTTACACAGTGGGAACACCAGCAGTATGTTGCTACACTATTATATCCCCTCAAGGAAGGCTCCTTGATGTTGGTGAGGGGCTCTTGATTTAGGGAATTGGATCTGTGCTCCAGTTCCCCGAATTAAGCCTGAATGCCTTCCACATCCCCCCCCCCAGGCGCTGTATAATCTTCCGGGTTTAGCGCTTCCCCCTTGATTATAATAATAATAATACACTATTATATAGGATAGTTACACAGTGGCAATATCAGCAGTGTGTTGCTACACTATTATATACGATAATTACACAGTGGGAACACCAGCAGTGTGTTGCTACACTATTATATACGATAACTACACGGTGGGAACACCAGCAGTGTGTTGCTACACTATTATATACGATAACTACACAGTGGGAACACCAGCAGTGTGTTGCTACACTATTATATACGATAATTACACAGTGGGAACACCAGCAGTGTGTTGCTACACTATTATATACGATAACTACACAGTGGGAACACCAGCAGTGTGTTGCTACACTATTATATACGATAACTACACGGTGGGAACACCAGCAGTGTGTTGCTACACTATTATATACGATAACTACACAGTGGGAACACCAGCAGTGTGTTGCTACACTATTATATACGATAACTACACGGTGGGAACAACCAGCAGTGTGTTGCATACACTTTTATATCACGATAACTACACAGTGGGAAAACACCAGCAGTGTGTTGCTACACTATTATATACGATAACTACACAGTGGGAACACCAGCAGTGTGTTGCTACACTATTATATACGATAACTACACAGTGGGAACACCAGCAGTGTGTTGCTACACTATTATATACGATAACTACACAGTGGGAACACCAGCAGTGTGTTGCTACACTATTATATAGGATAGTTACACAGTGGCAATATCAGCAGTGGGTTGCTACACTATTATATAGGATAGTTACACAGTGGGAACAAAAGTTAGCGATATTTATCTTGTTATATTCCATCACACAGGATGAGTTAAATACATAGTGTTGAAATGTGTCAGCCTGAGCTGGGAGACTTCAGTAGTGTCAGCCTGAGCTGGGAGACTTCAGTACTGTCAGCCTGAGCTGGGAGACTTCAGTACTGTCAGCCTGAGCTGGGAGACTTCAGTAGTGTCAGCCTGAGCTGGGAGACTTCAGTAGTATCAGCCTGAGCTGGGAGACTTCAGTACTGTCAGCCTGAGCTGGGAGACTTCAGTAGTGTCAGCCTGAGCTGGGAGACTTCAGTAGTATCAGCCTGAGCTGGGAGACTTCAGTACTGTCAGCCTGAGCTGGGAGACTTCAGTAGCATAAGCCTGAGCTGGGAGACTTCAGTAGTGTCAGCCTGAGCTGGGAGACTTCAGTAGTGTCAGCCTGAGCTGGGAGACTTCAGTAGTGTCAGCCTGAGCTGGGAGACTTCAGTAGTGTCAGCCTGAGCTGGGAGACTTCAGTAGTGTCAGCCTGAGCTGGGAGACTTCAGTAGTGTCAGCCTGAGCTGGGAGACTTCAGTACTGTCAGCCTGAGCTGGGAGACTTCAGTAGTGTCAGCCTGAGCTGGGAGACTTCAGTAGTATCAGCCTGAGCTGGGAGACTTCAGTACTGTCAGCCTGAGCTGGGAGACTTCAGTAGCATAAGCCTGAGCTGGGAGACTTCAGTAGTATCAACCTGAGCTGGGAAACTTCAGTAGTGTCAGCCTAAGCTGGGAGACTTCAGTAGTGTCAGCCTGAGCTGGGAGACTTCAGTAGTGTCAGCCTGAGCTGGGAGACTTCAGTAGTGTCAGCCTGAGCTGGGAGACTTCAGTAGTGTCAGCCTGAGCTAGGAGACTTCAGTAGTATAAGCCTGAGCTGGGAGACTTCAGTAGTGTCAGTCTAAGCTGAGGATAGTGTCATCAGCCATAGTAGGGACCAGTCGGTGGGGGTGAGATGTAGGTCCCGAGGAAGGGAAGTGGGGGCGGTGGGGGTGGGTAGCTGTAAGTCTTAAGGAAAGGTGATGGTGGAGGGGGTGGTCGTGGTTTGGGGGGGGTGGTCGTGGTGGAGGGGTGGTCGTGGTGGTGGAGAGGGTGGTGGTGGTGGAGGGGGTGGTGGAGAGGGTGGTCGTGGTGATGATGGCGAAGAAGGTGGTGGTGGTGGTGGTGGAGGGAGTGGTTGTGGTGAAGTAGGGGATGGTTGTGGTGGTGGAGGGGGTGGTGGTGGTGATGAAGGGGGTGGTGATGGTGCAGGGGGTGGTGTGAAGGGGGTGGTGGTGGAGGGGGTGGTTGTGGTGGTGTAGGGGGTGGTGGTGGTGGTAAAGGAGATGGTGGTGGTGGTGAAGGGGGTGTTGGTGGTAGAGGGGGTGGTGGTGGACGGGTTGGTGGAGGTGGTGGTGGTGGAGGGGGTGGTGGTGGTGATGGTAAGAGGGGGTGGGGGGGGGTGGTGGTGGGGGTGGTGGTGGTGGAGGTGGAGGAGGTGGTGGTGGAGGAGGTGGTGGTGGAGGAGGGGGTGGTGCGAAGTGGGTGGTGGTGGAGGGGGCGGTGGTGGACGGGGTGGTGGTGGAGAGGGTGGTGGAGGGGGTGGTGGTGATGGTAGAGGGCGTGGAGGGGGTGGAATGGGTGGTGGTGGAGAAGGTAGTGATGGAGAGGGTAGTGGTGGAGAGGGTAGTGCTGGAGAAGGTGGAGGGAGTGGTGGTGGTGGAGGGATGGGGGTGGTGGTGGAGGGGATGGGGGTGGTGGTGGAGGGGGTGGTGGTGGTGGAGGGGATGGGGGTGGTGGTGGAGGGGGTGGTGGTGGACGGGGTGGTTTTGGTGGTGGAGGTGGTGGTGAAGTGGGTGGTTGTGGAGGGGGCGGTGGTGGACGGGGTGGGAAGTAAGTGTAACCCTTAAAGAGAGGAGGGGGAGGTGGTGGAGGGGGTGGTGGAGGTGGAGGGGGTGGGGGTGGTGGAGGTGGAGGGGGTGGGGGTGGTGGGTGGAGGGGGGTGGTGGAGGTGGAGGTGGAGGGGGGTGGGTGGTGGTGGAGGTGGTGGAAGTAAGTGTAAGGTCGTGGTGGTGGTGGAGGAGGGGGGAAGGAGGGGTAAGGCCTCAAGATAAGAGGTGGTGGTGAAGGTGGACTGGGTGGTGGTACAGGGGCTGGACTGGGTGGTGGGGCGGGTGCAATGGGAAAGTTTGAGACGGGAGATAAGTTAGGGAAAGATGCTGGGACAGAATAACCAAGCGGAACAGGGAAAGGAACTGGAGCAGGATAAGTAAGTGGAACGGGATAGCTTTTTGGAACAGGAGCCGGTGAGGGGCCTTGTATCAGCACCTGACCCTGGTAGGTCACCTTGGCGGAATAGCCCTTCTCATCGGCCGTGTAGGTGACCACCTGGACACGACCATCTGGCAGGGCCACACGGTACTGACCACTGGTCTTCTGACCATCGCGGGTCTCCTGCTGGCTGAAGTCGTTGGCAGTAGGTTGGTCCAGGACCGTGTAGTTGAATGTGTACTTGGCAGGAGTCTGTGGAGAAAGATTATGTTGGTAAACACAGTATGGTGCTCAGGTAATGGGCAGTGTGAAGCACTGACACGAGTTTACAACTGTTCTCTTAATATATCCCCTCAAGGAAGGCTCCTTGACGCTGGTGAGGGGCTCTTGATCTAGGGAATTGGATCTGTGCTCCAGTTCCCTGAATTAAGCCTGAATGCCTTCCATCCCCCCATAGGCGCTGTATAATCCTACGGGTTTAGTGCTTCCCCCTTGATTATAATAATAATAATAATCTCTTAATATATTAACATTAATAGTCTTCAGTTTACCAGTATAGTATTGGCGTTGTAAACTCTGCTAGTGTGGCACTTAGTAGGGTGGAGTTGTTGTAATGAGTTCCTCAACCTTGGAGAAAAAGTATTTGAAGTTGTCAGTCCCTAGTCACACCAAGGTGGTCAGTCCCTGGTCACACCAAGGTGGTCAGTCCCTAGTCACACCAAGGTGGTCAGTCCCTGGTCACACCAAGGTGGTCAGTCCCTAGTCACACCAAGGTGGTCAGTCCCTAGTCACACCAAGGTGGTCAGTCCCTGGTCACACCAAGGTGGTCAGTCCCTAGTCACACCGAGGTGGTCCCGTCCCTAGTCACACCAAGGTGGTCAGTCCCTGGTCACACCAAGGTGGTCAGTCCCTAGTCACACCAAGGTGGTCAGTCCCTAGTCACACCGAGGTGGTCAGTCCCTAGTCACACCAAGGTGGTCAGTCCCTGGTCACACCAAGGTGGTCAGTCCCTAGTCACACCAAGGTGGTCAGTCCCTAGTCACACCAAGGTGGTCAGTCCCTGGTCACACCAAGGTGGTCAGTCCCTAGTCACACCAAGGTGGTTTAGTCCCTAGTCACACCAAGGTGGTCAGTCCTGGTCACACCAAGGTGGTCAGTCCCTAGTCACACCAAGGTGGTCGTCCCTGGTCACACCAAGGTGGTCAGTCCCTTGTCAAAAACCAAGGTGGTCAGTCCTAGTCACACCAAGGTGTTCAGTCCCTAGTCACACCCAAAGGGGGTCAGTCCCTAGTCACACCAGGTGGTCAGTCCCTGTCACACCAAGGTGGTTCAGTCCCTAAATCAACCAAGGTGGTCAGTCCCTAGTCGCACCAATGTGGTCAGTCCCTAGTCACACCAAGGTGGTCAGTCCCTGGTCACACCAAGGTGGTCAATCCCCTTGTCCACACCAAGGTGGTCAGTCCCTGGTCACCCCCAAGGTGGTCAGTCCCTAGTCACACCAAGGTGGTCATCCCTAGTCACACAAGGTGGTCAGTCCCTAGTCACACCAAGGTGGTCAGTCCCTAGTCACACCAAGGTGTTCAGTCCCTAGTCACACCAAGGTGGTCAGTCCCTAGTCACACCAAGGTGGTCAGTCCCTAGTCACACCAAGGTGGTCAGTCCCTAGTCACACCAAGGTGGTCAGTCCCTGGTCACACCAAGGTGGTCAGTCCCTAGTCACACCAAGGTGGTCAGTCCCTAGTCACACCAAGGTGGTCAGTCCCTAGTCACACCGAGGTGGTCAGTCCCTAGTCACACCAAGGTGGTCAGTCCCTAGTCGCACCAAGGTGGTCAGTCCCTAGTCACACCAAAGGGGGTCAGTCCTGGTTTACCCAGGTGGTCAATCCTAGTCACACCCAAGGTGGCAGTCCCTAGTCAAAACGAGGTGGTCAGTCCCTAGTCACACCCAAAGGTGGTCAGTCCCTGGTCACACCAAGGTGGTCAGTCCCTAGTCACACTAAAGGGGGTCAGTCCCTAGTCACACCAGGTGGTCAGTCCCTGGTCACACCAAGGTGGTCAGTCCCTAGTCCCCACCGAGGGGGGTCAGTCCTAGTCACACCAAGGTGGTCGTCCCTAGTCGCACCAAGGTGGTCAGTCCCTAGTCACACCAAGGTGGTCAGTCCCTGGTCACACCAAGGTGGTCAATCCCTAGTCACACCAAGGTGGTCAGTCCCTAGTCACACCGAGGTGGTCAGTCCCTAGTCACACCAAGGTGGTCAGTCCCTGGTCACACCAAGGTGGTCAGTCCCTAGTCACACTAAGGTGGTCAGTCCCTAGTCACACCAAGGTGGTCAGTCCCTGGTCACACCAAGGTGGTCAGTCCCTAGTCACACTAAGGTGGTCAGTCCCTAGTCACACCAAGGTGGTCAGTCCCTGGTCACACCAAGGTGGTCAGACCCTAGTCACACCAAGGTGGTCAGTCCCTGGTCACACCAAGGTGGTCAGTCCCTAGTCACACTAAGGTGGTCAGTCCCTAGTCACACCAAGGTGGTCAGTCCCTGGTCACACCAAGGTGGTCAGTCCCTAGTCACACCAAGGTGGTCAGTCCCCGGTCACACCAAGGTGGTCAGTCCCTAGTCACACTAAAGGGGGTCAGTCCCTAGTCACACCAAGGTGGTCAGTCCCTGGTCACAAACCCAAAGGGGGTCAGCCTAGTCACACAAGGTGGTCGTCCCCAGTCACACCAAGGGGGTCAGTCCCTAGTCACACTAAGGTGGTCAGTCCCTAGTCACACTAAGGTGGTCAGTCCCTGGTCACACCAAGGTGGTCAGTCCCTAGTCACACCAAGGTGGTCAAGCCCTAGTCACACTAAGGTGGTCAGTCCCTAGTCACACTAAGGTGGTCAGTCCCTAGTCACACTAAGGTGGTCAATCCCTAGTCACACTAAGGTGGTCAGTCCCTGGTCACACCAAGGTGGTCAGTCCCTAGTCCACACCAGGTGGTCAGCCGTCACACCAAGGTGGTCAGTCCCTAGTCACACTAAGGTGGTCAGTCCCTAGTCACACTAAGGTGGTCAATCCCTAGTCACACTAAGGTGGTCAGTCCCTAGTCACACTAAGGTGGTCAGTCCCTAGTCACACCAAGGTGGTCAGTCCCTGGTCACACCAAGGTGGTCAGTCCCTAGTCACACTAAGGTGGTCAGTCCCTAGTCACACCAAGGTGGTCAGTCCCTGGTCACACCAAGGTGGTCAGTCCCTAGTCACACTAAGGTGGTCAGTCCCTAGTCACACCAAGGGGTCAGTCCCCGGGCACACCAAGGTGGTCAGTCCCTAGTCACACCAAGGTGGTCAGTCCCTGGTCACACCAAGGTGGTCAGTCCCTGGTCACACCAAGGTGGTCAGTCCCTAGTCACACCAAGGTGTTCAGTCCCTAGTCACACCAAGGTGGTCAGTCCCTAGTCACACCAAGGTGGTCAGTCCCTAGTCACACCAAGGTGGTCAGTCCCTAGTCACACTAAGGTGGTCAGTCCCTAGTCACACGGAGGTGGTCAGTCCCTAGTCACACCAAGGTGGTCAGTCCCTAGTCACACTAAGGTGGTCAGTCCCTAGTCACACTAAGGTGGCCAGTCCCTAGTCACACCAAGGTGGTCAGTCCCTAGTCACACCAAGGTGGTCAGTCCCTAGTCACATCGAGGTGGTCAGTCCCTAGTCACACCGAGGTGGTCAGTCCCTAGTCACACCAAGGTGGTCAGTCCCTAGTCACACCAAGGTGGTCAGTCCCTAGTCACACCAAGGTGGTCAGTCCCTGGTCACACCAAGGTGGTCAGTCCCTAGTCACACCAAGGTGGTCAGTCCCTGGTCACACCAAGGTGGTCAGTCCCTTTTGTTCACCACAGGTGGCAGTCCTGGTTACACAAGGTGGTCAGTCCCTGGTCACACTAAGGTGGTCAGTCCCCAGTCACCCCCAAGGTGGTCAGTCCTAGTCACCACAAGGTGGTCAGTCCCTGGTCACACCAAGGTGGTCAGTCCCTGGTCACACCAAGGTGGTCAGTCCCTAGTCACACCAAGGTGGTCAGTCCCTAGTCACACCAAGGTGGTCAGTCCTCAGGTGTTACACATGTGTCTTAATCATCAACTTGTCAGTATTTTATATCATTCTCAACATGGGTGAGTGTGTAAGGTATGAGTTTAACGTGCCCAGCATCTACCTGGAGTATACCTGGAGAGTGTTCCGGGGGTCAACACCCCCGCTGCCTGGTCTGTGACCGGGCCTCGTGGTAGATCAGGCCCTGATCAACCAGGCTGTTACTGCTGGGCCACACGCAATCCAGCGTATAAACCATAGCCCGGCTGATCAGGAACTGGCTCAAGGAACTTGTCAATTTACCTCTTGAAGACAGGGGAGGCGAGTCTACTTACATCTGGGTAGGTGGGATTTAGATTCGAGGCAGAGGAGCAGATCAGTAGTGCACACCACACCACTGCAACCTGTGTTAGAGATATAGAATGAGACTATATATATTATATATATATATATATATATATATATATATATATATATATATATATATATATATTTTATATATATATATATATATTATATTTTATTTCATTTATGTTAATGTAAAAATTAATAATTTTGTACCAAAAGAACCTTGGAAAACTTACCTAACCTTCTTATAACAAGTGCAATTTAATTTAGGCTAATCCAACTAAATATATTTTAGATAAGTTTGTTTATTATTAAATTATTGTAAATTGATACAGAAGTGCTGGTTGGTACAAATAGAAATGAGTGGAACAAAACAATAAATAGTGTTTGTGTAGTGGTTAAATAGGGTAGTTGGTTAGTTCGTTGTGGGTTATAGTTGCTGTCCCACACGAGGGTCATTATAGCTTCTTGTCACCTCTTCACCACCAGTCAAGAGTACTTACATACTTAAAATAACCTTTACCTTAACTCGACATTTATGCACTAAAACATACACCTCTAGTTATGTGTATTAACTTCTCTGCATTTATATACACTGAGGGACATACACCTCTAGTTATGTGTATTAACTTCTCTGTATTCATATACACTGAGGGACATACACCTCTAGTTATGTGTATTAATTTCTTAGCATCTATGTATACCGAGAGACATACACCTCCAGGTGTGTATTAATTTCTCAGCATTTATGTATTGTAGACTGAGAGACATACACCTCTGTTTTTGTATATTGTGTAGCCTATTTTGAAAACAAACTGATTTACCTTTTCATACATCCTTCCTGATGAAAGGACGAGCACTGCTGTGCGCGTAGCCCCAGCCCTTGCTTATATGTGTGTGTGTGTGTGTTGTGTGTGTGTGTGTGTGTGTACTTGAGGACCATCAATGATATGTCGTAACTACATCAACAGGGATGCTCTGCAATTGCAACAATTATCTTTTGCATGTGCACGCGCTGTCCCAGTGTTCACCGTAATTACTAATGACTAGGTTTTGAAGGCCCGCTTGTTTCCTAAGTTAAAAGTTTGAAAGTTGTTTGTTTCACAAGTTGCAAATAATGCCTGTCTGCGAGTATATTCGTCTTTTCTTACATTCCCGTTACCTTTGTTAACGGGAATTTAGGTCTCGTAGCTAGAAACTTCCAGGACAAAACACCAGACACCAGAGTTAGGTGTAATATATTTGTTAGACTGCGTAATGAATAAGGCGTTCAAGTTTGCTCTTCAAATTACGGAAGAAAAGACGAAATGTACTGGAGAGGGTACTAAGTTGGTACCATCACTGGAAAGGGTACTAAGTTGGTACCATCACTGGAGAGGGTACTAAGCTGGTGCCATCACTGGAGAGGGTAATAAACTGGTACCATCACTGGAAAGGGTACTGAGCTACTAAGCTGGTACCATCACTGGAGAGGGAACAGGGAAGAATTACCAAACTAATACCATCATTGGATAAGGTACAAAGAAGATCTACCAAGCTGGTACCATCACTGGAGAGGGTACAGAGAAGAGCTACCAAGCTAGTACCATCACTGGAGAGGGCACAGAGAAGAGCTACCAAGCTGGTACCATCACTGGAGAGGGCACAGAGAAGAGCTACCAAGTTGGTACCATCACTGGAGAGGGTACAGAGAAGAGCTACAAAGCTAGTACCATTACTGGAGAGGGCACAGAGAAGAGCAACCAAGCTGGTACCATCACTGGACAGGGCACAGAGAAGAGCTACCAAGCTGTTACCATCACTGGAGAGGGCACAGAGAAGAGCTACCAAGTTGGTACCATCACTGGAGAGGGCACAGAGAAGAGCTACCAAGCTGATACCATCACTGGAGAGAGCACAGAGAAGAGCTACCAAGTTGGTACCATTACTGGAGAGGGCACAGAAAAGAGCTACCAAGCTAGTACCATTACTGGAGAGGGCACAGAGAAGAGCAACCAAGCTGGTAGTATCACTGGAGAGGGTACAGAGAAGAGCAACGAAGCTGGTACCATCACTGGAGAGGGCACAGAGAAGAGCAACCAAGCAGGTACTATCACTGGAGAGGGTACAGAGAAGAGCAACCAAGCTGGTACCATCACTGGAGAGGGTACAGAGAAGAGCAACTAAGCTGATACCATCACTGGAGAGGGTACAGAGAAGAGCAACCAAGCTGGTACCATCACTGGAGAGGGTACAGAGAAGAGCTACCAATCTGGTACTATCACTGGAGAGGGTACAGAGAAGAGCTACCAAGCTGGTACCATCACTGGAGAGGGTACAGAGAAGAGCAACCAAGCTGGTACCATCACTGGAGAGGGCACAGAGAAGAGCAACCAAGCTGGTACCATCACGGGAGAGGGTACAGACAAGAGCTACCAAGCTGGTACCATCACTTGAGAGGGTACAGACAAGAGCTACCAACCTGGTACCATCACTTGAGAGGGTACAGACAAGAGCAACCAAGCTGGTACCATCACTGGAGAGGGTACAGACAAGAGCTACCAAGCTGGTACCATCACTGGAGAGGGTACAGACAAGAGCTACCAAGCTGGTACCATCATTGGAGAGGGTACAGACAAGAGCTACCAAGCTGGTACCATCACTGGAGAGGGTACAGACAAGAGCAACCAAGCTGGTACCATCACTGAAGAGGGTACAGACAAGAGCTACCAAGCTGGTACCATCACTGGAGAGGGTACAGACAAGAGCTACCAAGCTGGTACCATCACTGGAGAGGGCACAGACAAGAGCTACCAAGCTGGTACCATCACTGGAGAGGGTACAGACAAGAGCTACCAAGCTGGTACCATCACTGGAGAGGGTACAGACAAGAGCTACCAAGCTGGTACCATCACTTGAGAGGGTACAGACAAGAGCTACCAAGCTGGTACCATCACTCAGAAACAAAATACATGACGTTAGAATATAAAGACTCAACTTTCTCTCTTAGGACACAGTCACTACAAACCTTTCAACTGGTAAATAGTTTTGATACACTCGAACACGAAGAACTATTTTAAGTGAAACATGAGTCTATCACTCGAAGCAGTGGAGTGAAACGTCGAGGCACAAGATGCAACGCAAATGTATGTTTTTTTTTTTTGTAAACAAAATTGAAATTGTAAGAGCAGAGGCAATGTAAAATTTTTTTTCCTCTGAAGATAATTGTTATCACTAACACACACACACTCATAATCTAGTTTTATTATCTTCGTAAAGTCAGCAAAAACTTCTGTCCTGTAGCTGGGTTGTTAGCGCACTAAGCTCACACTGAGATCCTTGGTTCGTTATCCGGTATGGGTGCAAACATTAGTTAAGACACCTGCTGTCCATGTTCACCTAGCAGTAAAATAGGTACCTGGGTGTTAGCTGAATGGTGTGGGTCGCATCCTGGAGTTTACCTGGAGTTACCTGGAGAGAGTTCCGGTCTGTGACCAGGCCTCCTGGTGGATCAGAGCCTGATCAACCAGGCTGTTACTGCTGGCTGTACGCAATCCAACGTACGAACCACAGCCCGGCTGGTCAGGTACCGACTTTAGGTGCTCGTCCAGCGCCTGCTTGAAGACAGCCAGGAGTCTATTTCTAATCCCCCTTATGTATGTTGGGAGGCAGTTGAACAGTCTCGGGCCCCTGACACTTATTGTATTGTCTCTTAACGTGCTAGTGACACCCCTGCTTTTCATTGGGGGGATGTTGCATCGTCTGCCAAGTCTTTTGCTTTCGTTGTGAGTGATTTTCGTGTGCAAGTTCGGTACTAGTCCCTCTAGGATTTTCCAGGTGTATATAATCATGTATCTCTCCCTCCTGCGTTCCAGGGAATACAGGTTTAGGAACCTCAAGCGCTCCCAGTAATTGAGGTGTTTTATCTCCGTTATGCGCGCCGTGAAGGTTCTCTGTACATTTTCTAGGTCAGCAATTTCACCTGCCTTGAAAGGTGCTGTTAGTGTGCAGCAATATTCCAGCCTAGATAGAACAAGTGACCTGAAGAGTGTCATCATGGGCTTGGCATCCCTAGTTTTGAAGGTTCTCATTATCCATCCTGTCATTTTTCTAGCAGATGCGATTGATACAATGTTATGGTCCTTGAAGGTGAGATCCTCCGACATGATCACTCCCAGGTCTTTGACGTTGGGTTTTCGCTCTATTTTGTGGCCGGAATTTGTTTTGTACTCTGGTGAAGTTTTAATTTCCTCATGTTTACCATATCGAATTAATTGAAATTTCTCATCGTTGAACTTCATATTGTTTTCTGCAGCCCACTGAAAGATTTGGTTGATGTCCGCCTGGAGCCTTGCAGTGTCTGCAATGGAAGACACTGTCATGCAGATTCGGGTGTCATCTGCAAAGGAAGACACGGTGCTGTAACTGACATCCTTGTCTATGTCAGATATGAGGATGAGAAACAAGATGGGAGCGAGTACTGTGCCTTGTGGAACAGAGCTTTTCACCGTAGCCGCCTCAGACTATACTCTGTTGACTACTACTCTTTGTGTTCTGTTTGTGAGGAAATTATAAATCCATCTACCAACTTTTCCTGTTATTCCTTTAGCACGCATTTTGTGCGCTATTACGCCATGGTCACACTTGTCGAAGGCTTTTGCAAAGTCTGTATATATTACATCTGCATTCTTTTTGTCTTCTAGTGCATCTAGGACCTTGTCGTAGTGATCCAGTAGTTGAGACAGACAGGAGCGACCTGCTCTAACCCATGTTGCCCTGGGTTGTGTAATTAATGGTTATCTAGATGGGTGGCGATCTTGCTTCTTAGGACCCTTTCAAAGATTTTTATGATATGGGACGTTAGTGCTGTCGGTCTGTAGTTCTTTGCTATTGCTTTACTGCCCACTTTGTGGAGTGGGGCTATGTCTGTTGTTTTTAGTAGCTGTGGGACGACCCCCGTGTCCATGCTCCCTCTCCATAGGATGGTAAAAGCTCGTGATAGGGGCGCCCCTTCTTGCAGTTCTTGATGAACACGGAGTTCCATGAGTCTGGCCCTGGGGCAGAGTGCATGGGCATGTCATTTATCGCCTGTTCGAAGTCATTTGGCGTCAGGATAACTCTTCAAATGTATATCAAAGGTATCCTCTGCATACCTTTGATATACCTTTGAAGAGTTTCGAGAGTTTATCTACTCTCTGAGCCCGGCCATGGGCCAGGCTCGTCTGGTGCTTGACTGGTCAACTAGGCTGTTGCTGCTGGAGGTCCGCTGCCCCACATATCTCTCACAGCCTGGTTGATCTGGCACCTGGTGAAGATACTTGTCCGGTTTCCTCTTGAAGGCTTCTACACTTGTTCCAGTCATGTTTCTGATATCTTCTGGTAAGATGTTGAAAAGTCTGGGACCCCGGATGTTGATACAGTGTTTCCTTATTGTCCCCACCACATAACCAGGGACTTTCAATATAGTATGCCATTAATATCAACTAGATCTGTGTACCTTGTACATGTATTTGTAGAGATAAAGATTATTATTATTATTATTATTATTATTATTTATTATTATTATTATTATTATTATTATTATTATTATTATTACATGTTTACCTAACGCATCCATCACAAAGGATTTTATTTTGCGTCACGAAATTGCAGTAACACGATTGCAAACAAACCACGGAACGAGCGAGTTTGAACCCATGGCGAGTGAGTTCTTAAACTCACAGGTCTTTAAACGCCACAGCCAGGCTGCTGTGGGATTCTTGTGTGGGATTTATGGTCACAGTAGTGGCCCATGTTAACCCCACTGTGGCGTATAAATATACCTAGTTGGATGAATCTTATTGTAGCCAGCTGGTCCAGTGGTTAACACACTGGTTAACAAGTTTTAGCATTCATTTGTCAATGGTTCACGCCCCACCCATTCCGTGGTTTATGTTTTTCCTGTTGTATTCCATCACAGGATGGTTTTCCTGTTGTTTACTATTACGGGATGGTTTTCCTGTTGTTTACCATCACAGGATGTTTTTCCTGTTGTTTACCATCACAGGATGTTTTTCCTGTTGTTTGTCATCACAGGATGTTTTTCCTGTTGTTTACCATCACAGGATGTTTTTCCTGTTGTTTGTCATCACAGGGTGTTTTTCCTGTTGTTTACCATCACAGGGTGTTTTTCCTGTTGTTTGTCATCACAGGATGTTTTTCCTGTTGTTTGTCATCACAGGGTGTTTTTCCTGTTGTTTACCATCACAGGGTGTTTTTCCTGTTGTTTACCATCACAGGATGTTTTTCCTGTTGTTTGTCATCACAGGATGTTTTTCCTGTTGTTTACCATCACAGGGTGTTTTTCCTGTTGTTTACCATCACAGGATGTTTTTCCTGTTGTTTGTCATCACAGGATGTTTTTCCTGTTGTTTGTCATCACAGGATGTTTTTCCTGTTGTTTACCATCACAGGATGTTTTTCCTGTTGTTTGTCATCACAGGATGTTTTTCCTGTTGTTTGTCATCACAGGGTGTTTTTCCTGTTGTTTACCATCACAGGGTGTTTTTCCTGTTGTTTACCATCACAGGGTGTTTTTCCTGTTGTTTGTCATCACAGGGTGTTTTTCCTGTTGTTTACCATCACAGGGTGTTTTTCCTGTTGTTTACCATCACAGGGTGTTTTTCCTGTTGTTTACCATCACAGGGTGTTTTTCCTGTTGTTTACCATCACAGGGTGTTTTTCCTGTTGTTTACCATCACAGGGTGTTTTTCCTGTTGTTTGTCATCACAGGGTGTTTTTCCTGTTGTTTACCATCACAGGGTGTTTTTCCTGTTGTTTACCATCACAGGGTGTTTTTCCTGTTGTTTGTCATCACAGGGTGTTTTTCCTGTTGTTTACCATCACAGGGTGTTTTTCCTGTTGTTTACCATCACAGGGTGTTTTTCCTGTTGTTTACCATCACAGGGTGTTTTTCCTGTTGTTTACCATCACAGGGTGTTTTTCCTGTTTACCATCACAGGATGTTTTTCCTGTTTACCATCACAGGATGTTTTTCCTGTTGTTTACCATCACAGGATGTTTTTCCTGTTGTTTACCATCACAGGAGGCCTGGTCGTGGACCGGGCCGCGGGGGCGTTGATCCCCGGAATGCCTACCAGGTAGACTCCAGGTAGAATGGTCTTCCTGCTGTTTTCCATTACACAGGATGGTTTTCCTGTTATATTCCATCACACGGAAAGACTTCCTAACCATAGTCTACCACAGAATGAGTTTCCTGTAATATTCAGTCATATAGATTAATTTTCCTGTCATAGTCTATCACACAGGATGAGTGTTCATGCAAAATAATGAAATATTTTAGCCTGAATTGGAAGACTTAAGCGTTCCACTGAGAATCCAGTAGCTACGGCACCTTTATAAACCTTGTTCCAACAAGTGTGGAATTGAGTTTACACGAGAACCTCCGTCACAGTTGGTACAAATGACGAGAACAACTTTAATAATATTAATAATAATCTTTATTTTATTTCTACAATTAAAGTACTATAAATCGACGCCCCCCACTATGTACAGACCTTGTGGGAAGGTTACTCAGGGTTATGTTGGGTAAATTAAACTGTTAAAGGGTGGGGGGGTCAGATTTCAGGGTTTAAGGTAAAGGGTATGGGTCAGGTTTGTGGATAGTAAGGGTAAGGGTAGTTAGGGGCATAATTTGCTGGTGGAGCTACGACCGGGGCAGGTTTATAGGGTGGCTGAGATGTGGATGTGAATTGAGGGACTGGTGGTGTTGGTGGAGGCGGAGGGAGAGGGAAGGAGATGTACCGGGCTGGGAATGTCGAGGATTGAGGGGGCACTGGGAAGGCAGCCTCTCCCTGGTAGTCCACTTGGGCCTTGTAACCATTCTCATCAGCCGTGTAGGTAACCACCTGGACTCTGCCGTCTGGTAGTGCTACGTGGTACTGACCACTCGTCCTCGCTCCATCACGAGACTCTTGTAACCCGAAGCTGTTCGCTGTGTTGTCGTCCCTGACGCCATAGTTGAAGTCATACTTAGGAGGCGCCTGCCGGGGTTGTGAGGTAGAGGGTTGTTTGATTATTTAGGAAAGTGGGCAATAAAGGCAGTAATTAAATAAAAAAAAAGACGGGAATAACTAGGGTGGTTTAGAGGTATAATAATTAAATAAAAATAAAAATAATAATAATAATATCAATAATACCAGTACCAATAATAATAATAATAATAATAATAATAATAATAATAATAATAATCTTTATTTCTACAAACACATGATAAAACTTATAGTCCCCAAAAAAATACTTCAAGGTTGAGGGACTGATCATATCAACTCAACCTCTCCACTGCTTCTGCTATCTCGAATATTTAGTCACCTGAGTATTCCACTGAAGAAGCCTGCAGACCAGGCGAAACGTTTCAACAATAAAGACACCCAATTGTTGCACATGTGCCTCACTCATCTACCTGTCAGTGTTATATTCTCTTAATATAATGAACGAAAAGAAATCTTTATTGACTCACGAAATCATAATAACGCGATTGTAAGCAAACCACAGAACGGGTGGGGGTCGAACGTAATGTAGCTGGTCCAGTGGTTAGCGCACTGGCCTGTGAGTTTAAGGGGCTTGTCAGTTCCCCTGTCTTCTAATATGTTATTTTTCCTCTATAATCTACCTTGTCCATAATTACTATCTCATTTACTTTGCTTTCGTAAGGCGAAGTCCAGGATCTTGCCTTAATTTATGGTATAACTTAAATCTTTAAGGACAGTTGTCCTCGAGTATTTGTTAAGTTATACCATGAATTATGGAATGATCCTGGACTTCACCTTACGAAAGCAAAGCAAATGCTATAGTAATTATGTACACGGTAGATTACAAGGGGAAAATAAACATGATATTAGGAGACAGGAAAACTCAGGAGCCTCTTAAGGACACCGTTCTTTGATTTGAAGCCTTTATTAATATTACTTTTCGCCTGAATGAAGCTTGATCAAGTTCCTAATTAAGCCTCATGCAGGTGAAACGTCGTATTAAGAAAGATTCCTTTTCCTGTCTGTGTTTTTTTTATCAATAAAGACAGTGTTGTGTGATGTAAACACTGCTTGGAGGGAATGGTTGCCGTAGCTCCATTGAGAGCACACTCAGCTCACACACTGAGGTCCGTGGTTCGATCCCTGATACGGGCTAAAACATTAGGACGTGTTTCCTTAAGACACTTGTTCCTGTTCACCTAGCAGTAAAGTACGTACCTGAGTGTTAGTCGACTATTATGGGTCGCATCCTGGGGACAAAATTGACCTAATTTGCGAGAAATGCTCTGCACAACAAGGGGCTTTCTGTATAGTAGTATGTTATTGATGTCAGCTATGATCTGTATAAGCTGTATCATGTAGAAATAAAGATTATTATATTGTTGTTATTATAACTCACGTCTGGGTAAGTCTCGGGCAGCTGTGTTGACGTAACTCCCTCAAGCAGCAACAATACCATCAACTGGAATATAAATGTGACAAGTTAGCAGCACTTCAGTCTGACTCTTGATAAAACTCTTATCCTCTGTGTTATTCTTTATCTTAAGCAAAATATCTATCAGTCAAAAACACTGGTTATAATTATAACTATAATTTTTAAAGCGGTGAAGGGGTAAGCCAGGGGAAGGCCTCGGCCAGATGACCAAAAGCTCCAGCTGTGGGTCATCATATAACTAAGACCTTCGTCAGGGAAAACTTGTCCTGTTTCCTGACAATCCTTATCTAACCTAACCTGTCCTTAAATAAAATTTTCATTTTTGGACAAGTTGTATATGTTGGCGGAGTGTAGGGTTCATGTTGCGAGGAAATGGAGCTACTCTTTGAATCAAAATCCTGATATCTTCTTATTCTCCAAGCGCTGTATTATTCATACGGGTTTAGCTCTTCCTCATAAATAAAATAATTGTTATATTTCAGCAGGTGAATAAGCTGTACCCTCGGTCACACTCCAACAAGCTATACCACGGGCGGGGCTTGAACCCGAGTTTTAAGACTATGACCGCGGGTTCAAGCCTCGCCGTGGTATGGTTTGTTTACAATCGTGTCATTATGATTTCGTGAGTCACTCCACCAACAGTTACTAAACTTATGGATATTATAAGTATTAAACCCTTGAGGTAAATAAATACATTTTAATTCTTAAATACTTATATGAGGATCAAGAATTTTTTATTCTTAAATTTTCGTGAGGCGATAAAGCCGTGTGTCACTGAGCACCAGGAATACATGGGAGAGACAGGTAACAGTAGTTAGGAGGCCACAATTAGGCTGAGATGACCTGTCTACTTCTATCTACATTAAGAACTGTTATGTATTATCAAGGACTGTTGGAGGCTCGATCCTCCGTCTGAGCGCGACACACACACTGCTCTCACAGCCAAACATAAAGTTAAACTGATATGATGTTTGTACCGATGTGAGGACCATGTTGAGTATGTGTGTGTGTGTGGAACAACACTGCTGAGCACCTGAGGACCCATGTTGTCTTATATGTGCACCACTCCTCCCGTGACCTCAATACATCGCGGCGAAGGGCTCTTGGTCCCAGGAATTAGAGGTACCTTCTCGTTCGTTGCATCAAATTTGATTGTCTGCCTTTCCCTAGGCGCAGTGTGACCCACATAAAATATGACAGGGAATATGATGGAATATGACAGGGGAATGATCCAGTGTGACGGAATATGACAGTGAAACACCATCCAGTGTGATGGAATATGACAGTGAGACACCATCCTGTGTGATGGAATATGACAGTGAAACACCATCCAGTGTGATGGAATATGACAGTGAGACACCATCCTGTGTGATGGAATATGACAGTGAAACACCATCTGGTGTGATGGAATATGGCAGTGAAACACCATCCTGTGTGATGGAATATGGCAGTGAAACACCATCCTGTGTGATGGAATATGACAGTGAAACACCATCCTGTGTGATGGAATATGACAGTGAAACACCATCCAGTGTGATGGAATATGACAGTGAAACACCATCCTGTGTGATGGAATATGGCAGTGAAACACCATCCTGTGTGATGGAATATGGCAGTGAAACACCATCCAGTGTGATGGAATATGGCAGTGAAACACCATCCTGTGTGATGGAATATGACAGTGAAACACCATCCTGTGTGATGGAATATGACAGTGAAACACCATCCTGTGTGATGGAATATGACAGTGAAACACTATCCTGTGTGATGGAATATGATAGTGAAACACCATCCTGTGTGATGGAATATAACAGTGAAACACCATCCTGTGTAATGGAATATAACAGTGAAACACCATCCAGTGTGATGGAATATGACAGTGAAACACCATCCTGTGTAATGGAATATAACAGTGAAACACCATCCTGTGTAATGGAATATAACAGTGAAACACCATCCTGTGTGATGGAATATGGCAGTGAAACACCATCCTGTGTGATGGAATATGACAGTGAAACACCATCCAGTGTGATGGAATATGACAGTGAAACACCATCCTGTGTGATGGAATATGGCAGTGAAACACCATCCTGTGTGATGGAATATGGCAGTGAAACACCATCCAGTGTGATGGAATATGGCAGTGAAACACCATCCTGTGTGATGGAATATGACAGTGAAACACCATCCTGTGTGATGGAATATGACAGTGAAACACCATCCTGTGTGATGGAATATGACAGTGAAACACTATCCTGTGTGATGGAATATGATAGTGAAACACCATCCTGTGTGATGGAATATAACAGTGAAACACCATCCTGTGTAATGGAATATAACAGTGAAACACCATCCAGTGTGATGGAATATGACAGTGAAACACCATCCTGTGTAATGGAATATAACAGTGAAACACCATCCTGTGTAATGGAATATAACAGTGAAACACCATCCTGTGTGATGGAATATGACAGTGAAACACCATCCTGTGTGATGGAATATGACAGAGATACCTAGCTAACTTTTGTTCCCACTATATAACTTGTCATGTAAGGTAGTGTAGCAGCACACTGCTGATGTACTCTTGTTCACTGTTAATATCAACGACCACACCCTGGTCTCTTACCTCACTGTTATGTAACCTGAAAAATCCCTCTAATTCACTTACTCCTGATACGATAATCGTTCTTCATAACTCCATAAGTGAAGTGAATGGTCATTTGTGTGTAACGAGAGAGAGGGAAAGAGAGAGAGATAAAGAGATGTTGTAGGTAACAGCTCTTAGCTTGTAAATAAAGTTAGGAACCTTTAACCTAACCTTGTAAAACCTTGTAAAACGCGATGTAAAAGAGAGGTTAGCATGAGCCCCACAGTGGGGGCTCATGCTAACCTCCCTATGGCATATGTTTGTACTTAGTTGGATGAATCTTATTATTGTCAGCTGGCCCAGTGTCTTACACACTGGTCTGGAGTTTTACGACTCACTCGCCATAAGTTCAAAAACCACCCGTTCCGTGGTTAGTTTGCATTCGTGTAATTATGATTATGTGAGTCATGATAGTTCCCAGTACAGTTAGTGTGTGTGCGGACAAATTTGCCAGTATACCCAGTATATTCTGTATTTGACTGAAGAAGCCTGCCGTGTAGGCGAAACGTTTCGACACTAAAGATTCCCAACTGTTATACATGTGTCTGAATCTTCAACTTGTTGGTATTTTATACCATTTTCTACGTGAGTGGGTGTGTGCTGTTGGATACGAGTTAGACGTACCCAGCATCTACCTGGAGGGTGTTCCGGGGTCAACGCCCCCGAGGTCCAGTCCTTGACCACGCCTCGCGGTGGATCAGGGCCTGATCAAACAGGCTGTTACTGCTGACTGCACGTAATCCAACGTACGAAGCACAGCCCGGCTGATCAGATACTGACTTCACGTGTTTGTTCAGCTCCTTCTTGAAGACAGTCAGGGGTCTATTGATAATCCCCCTTATGTCTGGTGGGAGGCCGATGAACAGTCTTGGGCCCCGGACACTTATTGTTTTTCTCTTACTGTACTAATGGTATGAACCAATTGGCTCATGCCATTAGTACACAAATACATCAAATACACCATTAGTACACAAATACACCAAATACATCATTAGTACACAAATACACCATTAGTACACAAATACACCAAATACATCATTAGTACACAAATACACCAAATACATCATTAGTACACAAATACATCATTAGTACACAAATACACTAAATACATCATTAGTACACAAATACACCAAATACATCATTAGTACACAAATACATCATTAGTACACAAATACACTAAATACATCATTAGTACACAAATACACAAATACACATTAGTACACAAATACACAAATACATCATTAGTACACAAATACACCAAATACATCATTAGTACACAAATACACCAAATACATCATTAGTACACAAATACACCAAATACACCATTAGTACACAAATACACCAAATACATCATTAGTACACAAATACACCAAATACACCATTAGTACACAAATACACCAAATACATCATTAGTACACAAATACATCATTAGTACACAAATACACTAAATACATCATTAGTACACAAATACATCATTAGTACACAAATACACCAAATACATCATTAGTACACAAATACACCAAATACATCATTAGTACACAAATACATCATTAGTACACAAATACACTAAATACATCATTAGTACACAAATACACTAAATGCACCATTAGTACACAAATACACCAAATACACCATTAGTACACAAATACACCAAATACATCATTAGTACACAAATACACTAAATACATCATTAGTACACAAATACACCAAATACATCATTAGTACACAAATACACTAAATGCACCATTAGTACACAAATACACTAAATACATCATTAGTACACAAATACACTAAATACATCATTAGTACACAAATACACTAAATACATCATTAGTACACAAATACACCAAATACACCATTAGTACACAAATACACTAAATACATCATTAGTACACAAATACACTAAATACATCATTAGTACACAAATACACTAAATCACACATTAGTACACAAATACACTAAATACATCATTAGTACACAAATACACTAAATACATCATTAGTACACAAATACACTAAATACATCATTAGTACACAAATACACTAAATACATCATTAGTACACAAATACACCAAATACATCATTAGTACACAAATACACCAAATACACCATTAGTACACAAATACACTAAATACATCATTAGTACACAAATACACTAAATACATTATTAGTACACAAATACACTAAATACACCATTAGTACACAAATACACCATTAGTACATACTAAATACTAGACACCATTAGTACACAAATACACTAAATACACCATTAGTACACAAATACACCATTAGTACACAAATACACTAAATACATCATTAGTACACAAATACATCAAATACATCATTAGTACACAAATACACTAAATACACCATTAGTACACAAATACACCATTAGTACACAAATACACCATTAGTACACAAATACACCATTAGTACACAAATACACCATTAGTACACAAATACACCATTAGTACACAAATACACCATTAGTACACAAATACACCATTAGTACACAAATACACCATTAGTACACAAATACACCATTAGTACACATATACACCATTAGTACACAAATACACCATTAGTACACAAATACACCATTAGTACACAAATACACCATTAGTACACAAATACACCATTAGTACACAAATACACCATTACTACACAAATACACCATTAGTACACAAATACACCATTAGTACACAAATACACCATTAGTACACAAATACACCATTACTACACAAATACATCATTAGTACACAAATACACCATTAGTACACAAATACACCATTAGTACACAAATACACCATTAGTACACAAATACACCATTAATACACAACACCAACACAGGAAGTAAGACACATGTGCAACAGTTAGGTGTCTTTATTCAGAAAGGTTTCGCTTACACAGCAGGCTTCTTCAGTCGAGTACAGAAGAGTTAGCAGAAGCAGTAAAGATGTGAAGACGATGTAATCAGTCCATCATCCTTGAAGATTTAGTTTTAGGTGGTCAGTCCCTCAGTCTGGAGAAGAGTTCTGCTCCATAGTCTGGAACAGTGTGAAGTTCAAGCGTCAGTATTGAGACTTATATACTGTACTCGACTGAAGAAGCCTACTGTGTAGACGAAACGTTTCGGAATAAAGACACCTAACTGTCGCACATGTGTCTTGCTTATCAACCTGTCGGTATTGTGTACCATTATCACATTCAATATCTCTACGGATATCTCACTGTAATAATGTTGCTAGAATTACCCACATTATGTTGGGTAAAAGGACACAAATGCAGCTGTGACACTATGGCAACGTTTCGCTCTCCAAGAGCTTTATAAAGCCGTTATAAACAATGATGATAGGAGAATCTTGAAGAACAGGAGTAGAATGAGGTAATCAGTCCCTCAACCTTGAGTCGATGTGGTCAGTCCATCAATCTTGAATTCTATATTCTATTCAAGATTGATGGACTGACCACATCGACTCAAGGTTGAGGGACTGATTACCTCATTCTCCTCCTGTTCTTCAAGATTCTCCTTTGTATGGACTGATGAAGCCACTGTGTGGCGAAACGTTTCCTCAATATAAGCTACCCAAGAGTTGCACATGTGTCTAATTTATCATCATGTCGGTTTTCTGAACCATTCATCTACAAACGTTATAAACAATACAAAGCTCCTGGAGAGCGAAACGTTGCTACGATAAAATGTGGCAATACTTGTACACGTGTCATTCTACCTAATATT